GGCATTTTCCACTGCAACTACTTCTGATTGGGTGCAAATTACTAGCAAATAATTACGGCCTACCCTGTTACTTCTTGTGCAAGTAGGTGCATTTACTGCTACTTTGAAAATGGAGCGCAAAGTGAAACGGAGAGTGCAAAAGTAGTTTTCTCACTGTTCTCAAATGGTGCTCAATGACTACAGCAACTGCAAATGCGCCAATGTTGCGTTCTAACACTGGAATCGAATCGGAAATCGCAGTGATTTGGTCTTGTTATCCTCATTTTTGCTATATGGAGAGAAATGCAGTGTGCTGCAGTCAATTGCATTTGTTCCACTTCAGTTAATTGGCGTGACCATACAATTCTACCTTGGTTTGAAAATCATTCCGTGAAATAAATTGCTTTGTTGTCTGCTGGTCACATGCACGGGCTAATTAGTGTCTCGCAATTCTCATCCTCATTTTATGCGATTGAGTGTATTAAGGGATGTTGCAAGTCATTGTTAAGAATTGCAGTTAAGGTTAGAAAACAATACATTATTGATACAAACATGGCTTTAATCACGCATTTATAGTTGTATGAGGACTCGACACTCCCTCGAGACGTGAAGAATATGCAATTGCAAAATATACTATAATTTGTCTGCATAGGAAAGGAGTGGGGAGCTACTGGCATAGTGCAGAGACCATGTCGCTGACGCAAGCATGAACGCTTATCCCTATATCAATATGTTACCAAAACGAGGCAGGAGATCTAAATAATAGAACGTTCGGACGATCCCAATCAGTAGCACGGCCACAACCAAGAGCAGAACTGCGGTTACGGAGGCGGACACGATAACCTGATATGACACTGAATGTGCAGTAGATGCTGATTCCGCAAGGCTTTGCAAGTTTGAAAATTCTTTTATGATCCACTACACTCAAAAAATGTTGGAAGCCATAATAGGGCTTTAATTAGCTATTGCCGACCGCGTGATACGAAGTGCTCAACACCATCTACATAATGGACGCCAAGTAATTTACTAATTCTTGCATCTGCCTGTTATAACTCCGTGTGTGTTCCTGTGTGAGTTTGGACCCTGTGTATTTTCTAATCGCATCAACTTAATGATAACGACTTCAACGAAGATATCTAGACCACCAATCGCTACCAGTGAGGTGTAGAAACGATGTGCGCTTACTTGACTGCCGCTTGGTTGCTAAAGGCTCAGAGTCGTCCAATTCAATTAGCCTTGACGTCACAGCAATTGCTAGCACAGCTAAAGTCGATTTGTGGGTGGTGTTGGCTAATCAAGGGAGCGGAACAAGAGCATTGGCTTCCAGACGTTTCCTGAATGTTCGGCACTTTGACACGAGAGAGGCCTTCTAAAGAATCGGAATGGGAATGTTATCTGCATTTGCTGACCACCTTAGCAACAAGGCATGACAAATGCCTTTTTTCCATTTTCATTGTGTGATGCGAGAAGCCCGCTTATTTTTGCCTGAAAAGGTGCCATGAATAAATATCCAGCTGTGCTAGGCAAATGAACGGAAAGTATGTACGTCTGCTGAGCTTCATCAATGGAGAGACTTTTAGCGTCAGCGATTGCTTCATACAGTGCTTCTCTCACAGACTCATTCGCAAGACCCAGCTAGAAGAGGGAAGAAATGTGCCTGATCGTTTTCACTTACAAAGGGCAAAGATGTGGTTGAGCGAACGTGCATTAGTAGGTGAGGGGTTTGTCCGCAAACGTTTTCCTACTTTAAAAAGGCAAATGTGGGAGGGGAGACCATTGATCGCGCCTGAGTATATTAAGCTGTCTGCCACTGCGGTTTGGCCTAACAGATGTCCTTCCCAATCACAAAGCCTGTAAACCGCAATAGGACGAAGTGATATTTTATCACACTGTATAATTGGAAGTGATGCTCTCCGCCCTGCTTTATATGCCGCGTTTAAATAAGTTGCGATCCTGATCCGAAAGCTAACCTTTCGTCGTCACTTGGAGGTGTGCGTTGCAACAACGTAACAATTCATCACGCAGAACCAAATGCTGTAATTTTGGTCATGAACCAAATCAAGATCCCTCGCATTAAGTAAGACCCTCCATTCTCCGTGGTACAAATGGAGTGATGGAAGCAATCTGTTGGCGTCGTCACCAACTAGAAAGGGAAGGTCATGGTGGCTGCCAATCAAATGCGAATCACACATTACATGCATTAACAGAGAAAAAGAAAGGGTTGTAGTCGTATTCCAGCAATCTCTAGGCTTGATTCAATACTGTCGAGGTTAAATTTCATTAAATTTGGACAGGAGCAAAGAGCAAGTGTTGAACCTTGCCTTATGAACCGAACGAAGGCACAATTCTGCTTAAGTAGTCTACCAAAGTCAAATCCACATAACT